TAAGGCTTGCGCAAAAAAAGGTCCACCTAGTTGAAAAGGAGGCAGATAGACTCATGGGGAGTCATGGAAGAACCAGACGGAGATAGCGAATAATCAATCGGATGACAATTACAGCCGAGTGGTGGACCGTGGAGCTCCCAGAAGACAAGGAAAAACTGAGATATTGAAGCAGAAGTGGGACCCCGAGTTTCCATCGATTTCGTCCATGCAAAATGCCCAAGAAAATACCTGGGAGGCCTGAATCTTCCTGACTCATAATGAGTTAGTTACCTTAGGTACGATCCAACATGAATCGCGGCAGTAATTCCGAGATTGTGATTGGATGGAAGTACATTACCTAAGCGACATGCAGACGATTCTCGCAAAACGTCGGGAAAGCCCGATCCACTCCACACATTTACACCTACTAGTTGGATGGATGCTAACAGTAGAAGAAACAATTAGACAGAACTTTGATTGCAAACTGTAGTATGCATTATTCATCATATCATCTACAGAATACTGACTCTCTACTCACTGTGGTCTAAACCTAACGTTCTTGGAGTTGGAGTATTTCATATTTGTTATGTCATCAACCATTGCGACCCACATGAGTCGGAGATAAGCAAACGGTGTTAAATTAACATCAAGCCTAGTGCTGACGCCAGTCACGCCACACCCTTTCCCTTTTACCTTTTATAGTCTCCGCCTTTCCAGGCCTCTGTATTTAGTATTTAGCGAAGACAGATCCTCGTGTCAGATTATCGGGGCCTTGGCTCACATGGAAGAGAGCCTACCATTGACGCGTTACGGGTTATCTTTCAGTGTCTGCTTCGATACTTATGACTGTGATACCGGGTCACTGGTGACTATGAGGCACTGATCACAAATGTGAGCCTAATTAGGGGATCTAGTCGGGCGTCTTCTGTGCGTTTCCAACTTCGATAAGGAAGCCATAATTTGGGAGGTCTGAATCATTATCAATCAATCACTTTATTTCAGCCACTTTTAAGACTAGCTTGGAGGAGGTGGAGCTGGCCAGCAGTCAACAAAGAAAATACGAATCATAATGTAATAAGATTCAGAATTTCAGGTGAATAATTGCCATGATTGGATGGATGGAACGTTTGAAGCGAAGCCCTGAAAAGTCGCCGAGATGCATCGGGTATCGGGTCGATGTTTTGTTTTTACGACGAACTCCCCTGCCGAGTCAAGCTGCATCATGCATCATTCTTGATTGCTCCTTGACAGTTGATAGGTTACAGTCCATGCATCTTCTTTAGGTTCCGATACGGTGCACTGACGTAGTAAACCCTTTTTTAGATCCATCATATTTAAAGGCGTCTGTCGCCATCTCATTACGAATCATCCCCTTGGCTCCTCGATGCTTACAGATCCAGGTACATCGCTTCAAGTAGAACGAAACAAGGTCAGAATCCTCGCACAGCGCGTCTAAATCTCCCCGATCCAATCATCCATGCTCCTAGAGTCATACCTTAGTTCATTCAAAAGCTCATTAATAATCATAACATGGCGCCATCCTCTCATCTGCACTGCGGAATTCATTTTCCTCGGTTTCTCCCGCTGCCCGTGGAAATTTGCCTAATCCAGTCAGCCTTGCACACACTTTCATCAAATATCGTAGGTAGTATCTCTGAGATAGGCTGCTTTGAAATCAGCCTGCACGCAGTACTCATGGAATCATAAAAGTCTCGTGGTCGTCGGCTTAGAGCCTATATCACGATACTCATATCACAGGATACCGCTCAAGCATGGATGCCAAGGCATTCAGATGTCTAGTGTACTCTCTGTCCTTGAATTGGCTTACTTCCCATCAGAGACTTGATATCATATCTTCAATGCAGATACATTGAGAACGACTTCATTGAGGATATGCATCGTGCACAATCGGTATGAGCACATGATACGCCTAACTGAGTACTTGAGAGCTGCACAAGTCTTTTCAATAGTCTCGTTCACGCATATCCCTACTTATCAGAAGTGGTTCAGTCATCAATGGTTGCACTGATACCTCATACTCAGAAAGGACAGGATAATCTGGTGGAACCATTCAGCGTCGAACCCTCCGCGTCAACGCCTATTGCTGCTATTCTAGATATATCCCGCCTCCCACGAGACATACAAGTCAATGCTCTCCCTTGTACCACTTCTTGAAGGACAGACGTACACCTGAGGCTCATAGCAACTGCAAATTCAAGCCTTGTTTTCTGCGTCATGCGTCTTGATATGTCATATGATGCTATAATTTACATGATCTATTATACAAGAGTAGACTTTGGCCTTCTATAGTAATGCATAGCATGGCAGTATTTCACGTACCACCATGCTCCTCCTGATCTATATCCGAGTCAACCCAATGTCAAGTCCGGACTTCTCCGCTTTCTGGATGGCGTCTGCAAATAGCTCCTTGCATCGTACTTGGCTTTCCAATCTCGCACAGAGCAGGAAGGCTCCGCTGAGCTTGCGATGTAAACTGTAGGTTTCCTCGGGCGGAGGTGCGAGTCGCTCCCGAATCATAACAGGGATCAAACTCCGGACTCGGTCCGTGATGGTCTGATTGCGGAAATCGTAGACGTCGGGCGAAGAATCCATGAACGGTTCGGCAAGGGTGAGGATCGAAGAAACGTGGGCGTCTACCATGGCCTTGGACTCGTGACCGGTCAGGTAGCCCAGTTCGATGGAGAGGCTGTGGCAGCGTTCCCGGTCGTTGCGAGAAGCGGCGATAAGTGTGCTGATATATTTCGTGATGAATTCGACAGGGTACTCGCGAGAAGCACCAAAGTCAAGGAGTTCCAGCTTATTGGTCTTCGCATTGTAGAGGAAGTTAGTCCAGTTGGGATCTGTCTGCATAAAGCGGAATTCGGTGATCTCGCGGAGGGATAGGCGTAGAATCTGCGTGCCGATCCAGTCACGTTGCGCCTGGGTGAAGTCGTGGATCTTGGTGACAGCAATGCCTTCCAAGCGTTCCATGGTCAGGACTTGCTTTCCTGAAGCCTCTGGGATGATTTCTGGAACCAAGAAAACGGGGTCGTCCTTTACGAGCTCTCTGAAACGGTTGCCGCACTCGGCTTCTCGGATGTAGTCACATTCCCACGCGAGTTCCGTCCGTGCGTTTGCGATTGTCTTGTCCAGATAAAGACCCCTCGGAAGAAGGCGGGATGCCGTCAGAAGGATAGAAAGGTTATTCAAGTCGGAGTCAATGGAGTCAGCAACACCCGGGTACTGGACTTTGACGGCAACTGGCTGGCCCGTCCTCTTGAGCACCGCTCCGTGAACTTGTCCAATCGAGGCTGCTGCCATTGGAACCTCATCGAACGTGGAGAAAAGATCCCGCCAGTTGGGTCCAAGATTATCAGCCAAGACTTTGTCACGTTGCGAAGCTGGCATATAGTCTGCTCGATCTTGCACTCGCTGTAAAACCTGATGAATAGCCTCTGGAAGCATTTTGTTATCTGAAGAAAATTAGTCTTCACCACAAATGCAATAAATGGATCGTTTCGAGTACCAACCCTGAAAACTCAACATCTGCCCCAGTTTGAGGGCGGCTCCTCGCATTTTTGAGAGTTTGGCCACCAGTCGTTCCATGTTTCCAGCACTGAACATAATAGACCCAGCATAGTCTTCTTTGCTCCCGGTCATCCTTCGCAGGCCCTCACCCACGGCTCCGAAGGCCATCGAGGTAGCCAGTCCACTGTATTGCCATAATCTACCAAACCGCGACGACGGGACTCGAGATTCAGTCATCTTATAGGTATCGCTATGCTTGAGCTCCGCTGTGATCTGGTGATCTTTCTATCAGAATGTCAATATCTGTTTCGTGCCGTTTTAACTCGACTAGGTGACGCACCAGCGCAACATCTTCAGCAATGCTGGCCCCAATCACTTCCATGTCTTCCTTATCAGTTTGCTTGACATTCTCGAAAGGAGCCGAGGCTGACCTTCGACTGACCGAACTTTCGGGAAAACCTTTAGCTCTCCAATCTGGATTCTTCATATCCGAGGCCGCTTTCTTGGAAAGTAGTTTGGCGACCTTGGGACTGTGGAAAATTTCCTTCATCATCTCCTCTGACACATCTTGCTGTTCTGTGGTAGACACCTCCTCAGGCACAGATTTCTCAGTGTTCACAGGCGAGTGGAAGACGTCCGCATTAAGAGAGCTATCCACGTTCACTTGCGTGTCGTTGATGGTCTTTGGCAGCTTCACTCGAGGAAGCCCCGATAATCCCGGCGTCGGCTCTTGAGAACGCTGATAAAAGACATCCTGTTGTTCGCTGACATTCAATGCACTCGAGCTATTGCTCACAGTGTGCTGCGCAGCCGATGACGGAATCTGAAATTCGGCCTGTCGTTGAGCTTTCTTCGCTTCGTCCGAAGAGAGACCTGAACGGGCTTCCGCATTTGTTGGCTGCGAGGACGTGGGCGTGCTTGTGGGCTGGGTTTTCGGCGCAGCTTCGGAAGGAGAAGGTTCATTGAATCGCTTTGCCAGAGCAGCTGCAGCTTGGGCTGTCAGTATTAAACCCTCAGTCTGCCTCTGAATTCCCTTGGTGAGGGAAGAAGTCCTTGTGAAGATGTCTAACTGCCGTTGCCGCAGCGTAAGGTGTTGAGTCGCAACTGATTTGGCGACATTGAATAATTGGATAGCATCCAGAAGACGCTTTCCTGACATAATATAAAGATGATCTCGTCAGTAGAAGCTCTTGGTCTAGCGTAATCGCATGATGTAATGCCAGAGGATAATATCAACTTGCGGAGAAGCGATCAGAAGCTCGCATCGGACCATTATTGCTTATGCTGTTCCTGTCGGATCCGCCTTTTTCTGCCCATATCCACCGCCGGAGTCGGGGACATCCGATGTTCGGGCGAGCTTATCAGTTGATTTGGGTCTTCGAGATAAGAAGCGGGCATTATTTAGTATGCTTTGGTGCAAATGGTATCAAGGAGCTCCTCGCGCAAACATCCTCCTCCTCCTTTTGTCTGTTAACACTCTGACGAATGCCCGAATGAGTGGGAAGAACAGTGTACAAGCTCTGGAGAGAGAGATTGCAGATCTCGAGTATCGTTTGCGCAATGCCCGCACACGCCTCACCTTAGCCCGCCCAGAGGGTGCAAGGGAATTACCCTCCAGTGGTCCGTGACGACACCTCTGCAACCGCCATGATTGTCGTACCTGAAGACTGACATCGAAGGTAGACGAACCATACCTTTCACCAAACCATGCATTACTTCTCCTGTCAGATTCTGCCCTCCCACTGGGCTCCTTTGCCTACTCCAGCGGTCTGGAGTCCTACCTAGCCCACAATAGACCTTTGCCTCGCTCGGTGACAACAATCGCATCGTTCCATCACTTCCTCAAATTATCAATTGCGTCAATTGCAAGCACCTCTCTCCCGTATGTCCTTGCAGCCTATAGGAACCCGGGAGAACTAGAGACTCTAGACAACGATCTGGACGCTTCGACGCCTTGTATAGTTGCTCAGAGGGCAAGTGTCGCCCAAGGAAGGGCGTTACTTGGCGTCTGGGAGCGAGCATTTCGAAGCTCATACGCCTCGGGACCGTCTGTCAGCGGGACTGACGCTGCAAAGGCCGTGCAAATGATTGAAATCTTCTCCGACGCTCTCAAATCTTGGGTTGGCACTGCGGATGAATTAGGGCCGAAAGGTCATCTTGCACCTCTTTGGGGCATTGTATGCCTCGCTATGGGTGTCGATATCCGGCAGACGGCGTATGTTTTCATGCTGAATCATGCCAAAGCAGTTCTCAGTGCTGCAGTTCGCGCATCTGTGATGGGGCCATATCAGGCGCAAAGCGTCCTAGCCAGCAAGGCCCTGCAAGCTATGATTTCAGAACGAATCAACCGAGAATGGGACACGGCAGTAGAGGATGCGGGCCAAATCGTCCCTCCTTTAGACCTCTGGGTAGGGCGGCATGAGCTTCTCTATAGCAGAATATTCAATTCATAACATTCGAGTACCTACACAGAGAACTGTCTAACCACAAAAAGTCAGGCGACATCATTAAGGCCATGACCCCATGAGCATGGTGCATTCATCATCTCGTCCTAGGTAATCCTACATCTCGCATCCCGGCTCCCCACCACCGGTGCTACTCGGAACACAGAGTGGGTATCCAAACAGTCTCTCTTCCTTCTGAAAGAGAGCAAGACATAAGGAAAATGGTGTAAAGAAAAAAGTTGAAGCCGAAGACTTGACCATCACCATGTCTGGCCAGATCGTTATGCAACGGGAAATCTTGCTCGAAAAGCGTAACAGCAAATCAAAACGCCGGCCCCAGTGAGACCCTATCCTGCTAAACCTTGTAGAGCAAAAACACCGCACCATGAACCTTCCATGATTTTGTGAAAACACGAGAGTAAAAGGAAGAAAAAGGGTAATAAAAAAGCTAGGGAAAAAATCGGGAGGACGAGAAGGGCAATAAAAACTATGGTACACGAATGTAAATTTTGAACCGGACCGAGGACAAACTCGGAAACTCAACGATTGCTGAGAGGACTCATAGCGTGATATGCATATGATCATTATTTCCGAATGATCTATTGCAATTTGGACACTTTCGAGAGCGAGAAGTAAGTCTTTCTTCCACGCATTCTTTGCAGAATACGTGACCGCACGTCTTGATCGCAGTATTCTTGAAATTCCTGCGGCAGACAGTACAAAGTGCAAGACTCTGGAATGGCAATCAATTAGTATCAGTCACCCTTATACATGGGCCGGGAAGACTTACCCTCAACATCTCATACTCCGACGATGAATTGCCCAAACTCTTGTTCTTCCAATTCTCAAGGCTCTTCTTGGTATCGGCAAGGGTGACTTTCAGGCTTTCAATCTCAGTCTCGGCCTTACGACAGGCGCTTGAAGCACTCGCCAATGACGAATCCTTCGACACCGAGAGGGCCTTGAGCTCATTGACCTGGGCTTTGAGACCGTCGATAACAATGTTATTCTCCGCGATTTGCTGCTGAGCCGCATGATGCTTGCTGATGATCGAATTCAATGCTTCCTTCGTCTCACTAGCCTGCTTCTCCATATTGGCCAACAGAGAGCGAGTGGTTGCCTCCGATTCCTTTAGTTGCGAGACAATATCAGAGCTCTTCGAGTTCTGCATTCTTAAAGTTCGAACTTCCAACTCTCGTGCTTCCTTGCTTTTCATTGCAGCGAAATACTTTTGGTCCGCTTTCGACTTTTCAGCAGTCAACCGGGCAACCTTCTCTTCCAAAGCGCTAAAATCTGCAACCTTTTGTGAAGCTAACGAAGAGTACTTTTTGCAGGCGGTCTGCATCGACGTCAACTCAGTGTTGAGCATGGAATACTGGCGCTCCAAATTCTGATACTTCGCACGAAGTTCTTCCAACGGAATATCGTCGATCTCCGTATGCGGGGCTTTCGTGTTGTCAAGCTGCAAGCGGAGCCTTTCTACCTCAGATTCCAGGGCATTAATCCGGGCCTGTGCAGCATCCGCAAGTTCTTGAACCTTAGTTGTAGCAATTTTCTCCTGTTCTTGCGCGGCCTTGCGCATCTGCTGATCAGCCAAGAGCTCGTCGCGGGCGTTCCGGATTCGGGCTAAGTCAGTCTCAGCTCGCATCAACTGCGCTTCCTTCTCAGCAATAACATTCTGGGTTTCCTCAGCCACCTGGTTGCGATATGCAGTCCGTTCAGATCGTAACTTTGCAGCCTCTTCACGTAGTTGTATGTTTGTTGCTTCGAGGTGGTTGATTCGTTTTACAACGTCGTCGTATTGGGATCGTAGTTGCTTGAACAAGTCCGTATGCGCATAATCATCGTCGGTGGGCTTTGTGCGCTACATCAACAACATCCAGTCAGCAGCAGTTTGCACAGCCGGCCATCAGCGCCTTACCTTGATATTCAGTTCCGTGATCTGGCTTAGTAAATTTGCATTCTCAGCTTCCAGTTTTTGCAACTGTTCCTTTTGCTTCTCCGAAACAGCCACAAGCTGCTTATGCGCTTCTTCCAACTCGGAATTGCGTTCGACGCTCGAGGGCACACCGTTGACAGGTGACTGTTCTTCCCGATTTCCAGACGCACTATCGCCGCCAGGTCGCTGACCACCCAGGAGGTATTGCTTCTCTAATTTTGCGACAGTCAAGCTTCGTGCCCGGTCGAGCTTCTTCTCAGCCACCATGTACCGTAATGACGCTGCCTCCAGGCTTTCTTCCAGTTGCTGTTTCTCGGCCAAAGCTTTCTCAAGTTCGGCAATAGTACTTTTTTCTTCAGCTAATTTTTTGGCAAGTTGAGACTGCAAATCTGTAACCTCTGGGGGGCCGTTTGTGGAGAAAGATTGCAACCGAGTAATAATGGCACGTATATCATCTGACCGGGATTTGAGATGCTTTTCAAAGTCTTCCATATTTTCGAATAACAGCGAACTTCGAAACGAAGGCCGATCTAGAAGAGTATTAGTGAGTCGACTTCAAAATGATGATCTAGCTAGGTTAGTGCCTACCTTTGTCTTCATCCGACGCGCCCATGAGAGTTTTGACCTCATCAATTAACTATCGCAAGAACAGTGAGACTCTGCCGCTGCAAGGAAGATGCGCGAGGATACTTACCTGATTGAACCAGGCATCAATTACACGTAAATGGTCATTATGGTAGGCCGTAGCTTTCGACATTTCCTTGAGTTTCGTCTCCAGAGACATCTTCTCACGTTTATACTCTTGCATCTGCCGCCATATCGCATCTTTTTGGAATCGCTGCCGCGGAGTGTAAGTCAGCATCAGAATCATTTTAAAACTTCAGCTGAAGTCTAGGTGGATCGGGGGAAAAACCCCCCTGCTAGAAACTAAAGGTTCAGTAACAAACGTTGGCAACTCACCTCTAGGTCGTCTTTCCAAGGCATATCGGCATCTGGGTGCGGTTTACTACCACCATTGATAGAAGTAGCTTGCTTCTTCAATGGTGGAGCAGAATCATTGGGATCATGAGTAGCAGGTCTCTTCCGGTCTTCCATCTTGACGATACCGGACTCGGAACATGCGACGGGAGATGCTTCGGTGGCCGGCATCAGTGGCTAGAAGACATAAGTCGATGAAGGCCGTCACCACTGAACAGCAACCAGCCTGGAGCAATAACCGCAGCAGTTCCCGCCCGTGTAGGTGACAACAAATTCTGAGTGACGTTGAAGGGCGCAGCAGTGCAGGTGGTAGTGATAAGCAGGACTTGGGAAGCCAGGAGGATTTTCGGCCTGGGAGGTTTAGCGTCGCCTAGCGCCTCCCACGTGACCGAGCCCACTTCCCCCCAGAGTTCAGACGAACACCCGGCGTCTAGACTTCTGCATGTCACCTTCTACGTATATTCGCTGGACCATCCATCCATCGCATCGGTTCTGTTATCGGCCTGGAATTTGATGACTCTTTTCCTCTCCAGCTATGCTGAGCCGTGAGGATGAAATCTTTTTCGAGTTCTGTCATCAGTAAGTGTTGAATCCTACCTTCTACAACGTGCTCCATCGTCTGACCGCTTCCGTCTTCAGATAAGTCGGGCAAGAAATTTGCTCCAAAGGCGCCTGTCCGTCGCGCCCCTCCGGCTCCCTCTGCCACCCCAGCACCACCGCGAAGACATAGTACCGCTTCACAAACATCTACTACTCAAAACAGTCAACCGGCGTTAGATAAAGTTCCTGCCGAGCTCGCGCCTCCTGCTACGGTCCCGGAGCCTTCTATCCCATCTACCGCTGATGTTCAATTGCCCGTCGCCGAGTCGTCGGGGGCCCCGAGACCCGATTCAATACCATCCAAATCTGTGACAGCCATTCCCATTCCCGTTTCGAAGCGTAAGGCATCTTCCTCGGCTCCCACACGGCGCGTGACTGTTGAAGAAGCTCCTGCGCCATCTCAATCACTCGCGCGTCATGATACCAATACCGAACGTCCACCCACAGATCTCGAGGCGAATGGACCTGAGAAGCAAAGAGAAATTGTTCAAAGTATCGAAGTCCCTCAAAACCTTGGGAGCCGCGATGACGCCTCGACACCTGCGGCTAGTTCTCAGAACCTTCCACCTGTTGAGACCGCTACAGAGATCCGCCCATCCAAGCGCTTGAAGCTGACTCAAGAATCGTCGACAACATCCGCCCGTCCTACTCTTTCACCATCCCATGTCATTACTCCGCCATCTACCCAACCCCCGACGGTTGAAGAAACTACAGAAGTAACCGACGGAGCTGAATCGCAAGCAAACGCTGACCAGAGTCGAAGAGCGTCGAAGTCGCGAGGCAGAAGGGCGAGCCGCATCTCCAATGCTGAGGATGCCGCGGGCAAGGTGAAGAGGAAGCAACAGCAGTCTCGCAAAAAGCGCGAGCCAACACCGGAAGGAGCGGATCTCATCGAAATCGCTCCAGCAGTAGTCAAAATGTCAGAATTGTGCAAGGATTTACGAACGGGGAAAATGTCTAGGCGGGAAACTGAACTGCGCAACATGGAACTCGCTGAGCAGGAACGCAAGCGAGCTCAACAAGAGGACGAGAGCCAAGCGCCAGTCCCTCTCAAACCGACCGCGGATGTTGCATCACCCGCAGCGGAACCCGATATCGCTGTCGACAAGAAGCCACAGGCCGGTCCTGTGATGCGAATCGTGAATGGAGAGATTGTGCTTGATGCCGCTTCCCTTCAGGTCGATCGTTATGCAGATGCGGCGAGAAATGCGGGGGAGCTAGAGGATGTGGTGGAAAGCTCTCTTACACGGAAGATCAACCAAGCCACATGGGGTAAACGGTCCAAGACAGAATCATGGGATGAAGAGATGACGGATCTATTTTACAGAGGCTTGCGAATGTTTGGCACCGATTTCATGATGATCAGCAAGCTGTTCCCTGGGAGGTCGAGACGTCAGATCAAGCTGAAATTCAACAATGAAGAGCGGCGCGCTCCAGAACGAATCAAGGAAACACTGTTGGGCCCCGGGGAAACGATTGATATCGCGACGTA